TATATATATATTAATGCTAGGGTACTATATAATAGAAACGATCAAAATTTAGATGAATATAAAAATGCTAAGAAAAATGTTAAACAAATAGTAAGTAAAGTTAAAATTCAGGCATGTGATACTCTATATAATAAAGTGAAACAAGAGAAGGTGAAAAAGAAATCTTCCAATTAGTAAAAATAAGAGAGAAAAAGTATAGGAATCTATACCATATTAAATGCATTAAGAATGATGTTCAAATGGTCTTGATGAAGGATGACGAGGTCAACAAAAGGTTGAGAGGTTATTTTAAAAAATTATTAAATGACGAACACAATGGGAACATAGCGGTAGAGAGAACTATTGATACAAATGAGGGTGGATGTCATAGATACATTCGTAGGATTAAGATATCGAAAGTAAAAAAAGCTTTACAAATGATGAAGAAACGAAAGGCTTTAGGACTAGATGGTAGCCCAATAGAGGTTTGGAAGTACATGGAGGAGATTGGCATTGACTAGCTGACGAAGATGTTCAACAAGGTGTTGAGAACAAAGAAAATGCTAGAAGAATAAAGAAAAAGTATGTTGGTACCTATTTACAAGAACAAAGGAGACATTGTGCGATGATCGAGGGATCAAGCTCATAAGCCATATTATGAAGCTCTGGGAGAGAGTGATTGCAACAACTAAGACATGAAACGAGTGTATCTAAATACCAATTTGGTTTTATGCCAGAAAGGTTGACAACTGAGGCTATTTTCCTACTTAGGCAACTGATTGAGAAGTTTAAAGCGAACGAAAAAGACCTCCACATGGTCTTTATTGATTTATATAAAACTTATAATAGAGTGCCTCAAGATTTGATTTGGCTGGTACTAAAAATAAAAGAGTCTCTATACATTACACTGACCTGGTGAGATATATGTATGATGGAGCGCTAACTAGTGTACAAACAACTAGTGGAGAGAGGACAGAGTTTTAAGTGATAATAGATCTACATCAAGGATCAGCATTGAGCCTATACCTCTTTGTCTTAGTTATAGGCGACTTAACTAGGCACCTACCGGATGAAGAACCATGGTGCATGTTGTTTGCAAATGACATAATTTTAATCGATAAGACCAGAAAAAGAGTCAATACAAAATTAGAACTTTGGAGGGATGCTTTAGAATCCAAAGGTTTTAAAATTAGCCAGACTAAGGCAAAGTATATAGAATGCAAGTTTAGAAATAGTAGGAGCATGGACGAGGAAGTATTTAAGATTGAAGCTAGGAAATACAAAAAAGACCACACTTTCGATACATTGGGTCGATAATCCAGAAAAATGGAGATATTAAGGAAGATATACATTTAATTGGAGTTGCGCAGGCGAAATGGAGATGTACAACTAGAATTTTATGTGATTGCAACATACCAATGAAATTGAAGGGCAAGTTCTATAAAATAACTGTGAGACCAGCTTTGCTCTATGGGGCGGAATGTTGGACGGACAAAAAACAAAATACTCAAAAAAAGAGTATAGCGGAGATGAGGATGTTGAGATAGAAGAGTGACAAGACAAGAAGGGATAAAATTCGAAATGAATCCATTCAAGAGAATTTAGGTGTGGCACCAATAGGTAATAAGGTGAGACAGAGTAACTAAAGTGAGCTGGCCATGTGTGGCGTTGACCAAGTACAACACCTGTTAGGAGGTGCGAGTTAGTTTGGAAGGACTAAAAAGGGTAAGGTGTAGGCCGAAAAGGATGCGATTGGAAGTAGTTCGAAAAGATATGGGGACTTATGCCCTTACTGAAGGTATGCCTTTAATAGAGTAGAATGGCAGATCAGAATTCGCATAACCGACCCCAATTAATTGGGACAAGGCTATTATGATGATGATGATGATGATGATATTTATGCTGGGGTACTCATATATATGAGTATTCCTTTAATGTACTCAACTTTTTGGGACAATCATATACCCTTGTTTTGTAATATAGAATTTTTTAGTAAGGGTACCTTTTGTAATTAGGAGGGGTATGATAGATATTTTTTATTAGTGGTTAGTAAGCAATTATTGCTCAATGTGGGTGATGTCATGATGATGTCACCCTCGACTACAA